TTTCTCCAAGTCTCTCCTGGTCATGTGCCCAAAGTATGTGACATAGAGTTTCAAAATCCTAGCCTCCAAGGAGAAACTTGGTTTCACCCTCTCAAAGAGGGTTATCTTGGTCATCCACAGTATGTTCGAGATCCTTCTCCAGCATCCCAATTGGAAGGCATCAATTCTTCTTCTGTCATCCTTAGTCATTGTCCAGCTCCCTGATGCAGAGCAAGTAACTGTGAAGACTATGGCCTGGGTTAGGTGCACCTTAGTCTCTAGACTGACATCGTTACTTTTTAGTATTTTGGAAAGGTCCCTAACAGCAGATTTTCCCAATACAATATGTCTTTTGATTTCCTGACTGCTGGTGTTACGAGTTTTGACTGTAAAACCGAGCAAGCTGTAATTGTTAACAATCTCAATCTCTTCTTCATCTATCATTGTGCTGCTAACTGGTCCAGTGGTGAGTGAGAATCTTTGTCATCTTGATGTTCAGCTTCAATTCATATTGAAGACTACAGTTCTTGACTTTCTGAAGCAAACACTTCAGGTATTCTTCCATTCCACCAAGCAAGGTTGCGTCATTTGAACATCACCACACCAGATTTAGAAGAGACCTATGTGTGTGAACCTTGGAAACTGCAAAGATCTTTTCCTGAAGCTGGTACATAGGTTTTGGACTTGCATTCTCCAAAACATGAGACAGACAACAGCGTGAGAGACCAGTATCAGTATGTGGTGTAGGACATCGAAAAAGTGACTTGTGGATTAAGCTATCATATCAAGAGGTGGCTGGAGAAGGGAGAGCTTGATCAGGTAGACAGGAGGGCAAGGAATGATGATGTAGTAGAAAAAGGGAAGAAATGAGACACCTGTGGTTGGGGGGGCAGTGGATATATTGGTAATTTCTCTGTGAGTTTCACCTGCTTGGTAAAATGTTTGTCTGTCAGTAGGTTCATGTAGCTATTTTAATTTAAACGAAATAAAATTAATAATTATATTAGTTGTACAAGCCATAGCGCTAGTGCGCAATGATTACATGACTACTGGATACTACAATAGGCTGTAGAGTTCCAGAATATGTCCATCACTGCACCAAGTCCAGGGGCTCACTGCTGTCCTAGATTCGCTATTAGGGATAAATAAGGAAAAAGTCTTAAGGGCAAAAAGTCCTTACAAATTTCTTTAGACCCTCTGCTCACTTAACATTAAACTGGGACCACACGTCATGTTCAGTATATTTGTCAAACTGGATTTTTTTAAAGTTTTTGTTTGTTTTTTTTTTAAATTAGGGGTTTGTTTGGGTTTTTTTCATTAATTTTAATACAGAGGTTTTGGATTTCCATTCATTCATTGCCACACTTTTCTCCCTGCCCATCCTCTCCACCAGTTCGCTCCCCTCTCCGAAAAGAAAAGAGGAAAAAAAAATTCCTTCAGTATACAATTCCCCCAACCGTTTCCCCCACCTCCCACCCCGAGTACACTTCTCTATGCAACCTTAATTCTGGATTCCTGTGCTAACCATAATACTCAATCATATATAACCTCTAGTCTGTTCTTTCCCTCATCTGTTTCAATATAATATACATATTTTATCCAGATGTCAGACCCATTCTACAACAGTGGCACCATGCAGTATTTGTCCCTTTGTGACTGAGATATTTCACTCAACATAATGTCCTCCAGGGTCACCCATTTTGAATAATATTTCATGTGTTCCTTGTTTTTCAATGCGGCATAGATTCCGTTGTGTGACTATACCACAGTTTCTCTATCCATTTGTTTGTTGTTGGGCCCTTAGGCTGCTTCCAACTCTTTGCTATTGTAAACAAAGCTGCAATAAACATGGGTGTGCATTTATCTGCTTGGATGGCAGACATGGTCTCTCTGGGGTATATTCCCAGTAATGGGACTGCTGGGTCAAATGGTATCTCTATTTGCAATTTTGTGAGAAAGCGCCACACCGCCTTCCACAATGGTTGCACCATCTTACATTCCCACCAACAGTGAATAAGGATTCCAGTCTCTCCACATCCTCGCCAGCATTTGTTGCTTGCTGTTCCGTTAAATTTTGCTATTCTTCCTGGGGTGAGATGACATCTCATAGTTGTTTTGATTTGCATCTCTCTTAGAGCTAGGGACTTTGAACATTTCTTCATGTGCTTGTTGGCCATCTGAATTTGTATGTATACCGTCAAATCAGATTTGACTGGTACAGGAGGAGAATGTATCTCCTTCTCCAGCACAGTATATTCGAACCACACACCTCTGGGACTGCAATGCAGCTTCTTGCCACTAGGTCACCAGAGCTCGCCACCAAACTGGATTTTTATGTAAAAGAGTTCAAGGATAAAGTAGTTTTACAAGTTTCATTTTAAGCAAAAGCAAAAAATATTAGCCCTAACTACACGAACAGGTTCTACAACTGAGACTTTATTATCAGAGAGTTCTAAATGTAATCATCTAATACGTAAGTATTAATGAGTCTGTCAAAATAGGCACATCCAATTTTTTAAAAATACTATCACAGATGTCTGCTAGAATAGTAACTAGAAAATTGAAAGGCATTTTACACTTTAAAAGTGAAGTTTACCATTTAAAGGAAGCCTGTAGATAACAAATCTATGAAAAGGATTAGCACCTTTTAATTTAGTCAGTTAGAATGCCAGAATAGCAGGCTACTCGTAGAAAATGTCAAATCTACATTACCAGAATATTAAATGCCACAGGGCAAACTCTGACCAATAGTAGACAGATGTTAACGTGAACATATACCTCCTTTCCTTCCCAGATGGATTATCCTGACACACATACATACTTAATTGGTTAAGACAAATTTATTCACAGAATCTTAATGAGGAAAAGAGAAAAAAAAATTACAGAAATCTAATAGAAAATGAGGAAGTCAATTGAAAAGGTAAAAGGTAATTCTCATTACAGCTCTACTGTATAGAAACAAAAATCACAATTAGAAATCACTAAACACCTAAGGGAATGATAAATTGTAGAAAACATAAAATATCAAATTATTAAATAGTGACACGAACTGGAGCAATTATCTTATGCACTGCTACTGAAAATGTAAATCAGTACACCTACCATGGAAAATCATTTAGCCTCATTCATTATACTTGAACATATATATTTACTAAAGGCTCAGCTTCAGTGCTAGGTATATGTCTAAGAAATATATATGCAAAAACGTCCTAAACACATATACAAAATTCTAAGAGCAATTTCTTGTTAATAGCCAAAACTGAAAACAAAACCATGTTAATCAGCATTACCAAACAAATCCATTACCATCAAGTCTATTGCAACTCACAGAATTCATCCACTGGATTTCCAAAGCTGTCCATCTCTCTCTCATGGAGAAAGCAACTTTCCAGTTAGCACACAACACATTATGCACTACACCAACATGGTTCTTCACACAATCAATACTATCCAATGAACACCTCTATGACTATGGAGTTAGTTGCAACTCTGTGGCCTTTCTTGGTTTCGGAGGTTAGAGGAGACTGCTTATTTTCTCGCTCCAAGTATTCATAGATTCAAACCATTGACTTTGGTTAGCAGTGCACTCTACCACCAGAGCTCCTTAGTATGAATAAATGTAATATGTTCATAAAGTATTCAATTCTATAAAACATTGAAAAAGGAATAAACCTTTTAAGTCTTATAATATTGACCTTAACTTGGTCTACTAAATATGAAAAACAAGCTTTTGCTGTTACTTGTTATCCGGTCAGAGCCAAATCAGTTGATCCTCCAGCAGGTTCTTCCAGGCTATAAATTACAAGGGAGGAAACTGCCCAACTTTGTCCTTCAGAACTGCTGGTGGATATGAACCAATTGCCCTTGAATGAGCAATGCAAGTATTTACCTGGTAGGCCACCAGAGCTCCCTAAACTATTATAATTAGAAGTGATAAAATTATTAGGTGTTTGTTGCTGTTGTTGTTGTTCTGTGCCATCGAGTCGCCTATGACTCATAGCGACCCTATGTACAACAGCCCTAAATCCTGCTCTATCCTGTGCCAACCTTATTGCCTCTGACACACCTACCCCCATTACACCAGTCACTGAATCAATCATATCAAGAGTCTTCCTCACTTGTTCTGTCCCTCCACCCTCCCAAACATGACATCCCTCTTCAAGGACAGGTCTCTCCTAACAACACACCGAAACTATGTCAGATAGAGCTTCAGAATCCTTGCTTCCAAGGACTAGCTGGTTTCACCCTCTCTAGGATGAACCTGTTTGTTTTCTTAGCAGCCATGGTATATTTAATACTCTTCTCAAGCACCAAAGCTCAAAGGGATCAATTCTCATTCTATGATCCCTAGTCACTGTCCAGCTTTCTGATGCATAGCAAGTAAAAGCAAAGATTATATCAGGTGCACCTTAGTCTCTAGATTGACACTGTTGCTCTTCAGTACAGTGGAGAGGTCTGACAGCAGACTTTCCCAATGCAATTAGTCTTTTCATATCCTGGCTGCTGAGTGTTGATTATGGAGCTGAGAAAACTGAAGCTATTAACAATTTCAATCTCTCCATCATCTCATTGTGATACTGCCAATTAGCCCAGTGGTAAGAATCTTTGTTTTCTTGGTGTGGAGCTTCAATTCATAAAACAAGGAGGAAAAACTCCCATAATCATTTGTATTGGGAGCTGATTAGCAGTTATCTCAAGGGAAGAAACAAGGGCTAGAAACTAAACCAAGAGATGCTGAGGGAACCACTGGAGGCTGGTAATACATGTTATTCACTGAACTATGTAGTAGCTACATGGATCTTTTTTTAGTATAATTTAGTGAGGTGAAAATGTTTGGTTTGTGCACTTACCTATATAGATGTTTTATTTCACATAAGGACAAAAAGAAAGAAAAACCTCAAAGGAAGGCAGCCTTTATAAACATCAGACACACAAATCCACTCTCATGCATAAGGTTAAATGACTCTCACCACATTCTCTTCACTCACCTTTACGTCTTACAGTTTTATCATGTGTCTTACCTCTTGTAATGCTTTACTAATTAATGGTGAAGTACTAGTATTTTTCTCTCCTTCTGCATGGATCTGGAAATTCACTCTTTGATAAAGAATCTGAAACAAGAATGGGATATATTATAATCAGGTCAAAAAGGAATTGTGTTTTCCAATTTGCCCCTCTTCACAACGAAGGTTTGAAATTTTACTCTTTTGAAGAAGAAAATATGTAATCATCAGTTATTGGTAAATGGCTCATTGCAAGGTCTGAACCATGAAAGAAGAGTTCAGAAGTGGGAATCAATTGTGAAAAGCCTGATACAAAGTAATGAATGACTATAAAATAGGACTGCCAGAATCTTTTCGCTTTATACAACAGTGTTTCCCAACAAGGGCACTATTGCCATTTGAGGAATACAACTCTCCCTTATACAGCTTTATTTTATGCCTTTTAAGAAATTTAGCATTCAGTCAACTAAATCTCCTCTCCATTCCTACAGGTCTCCTAAGGAAATGTTAAATGTATATGCATACACACATACAACCCCACTTCCCTACCC